TACATGTATCTACGCTCGGCGATCGATCGATCTCCGTCCTAGCAGCGTCGATCCCGCGTACGAACACGTTTCGATCCGTCTTAATCTACAATTTCATATCGAGGAATACCATTAGTCTACAATTGAATGACGTACACTGTTTGATCATCTGTATTTGTATGAATGGTATTCGGATAGATAGAGACTGTTTGTGGAACTAGCAAACTGTAATTCAGGAGGTTCACCGGTCCATCGGATGGATGGAAGAACCGCGATAAAAATAAATTCCTGAGTTCCACGTAGACGCGTGGGTGCACCGACTCGAACGGGGCTTGCATAGTCTTTAAATTACGTCCGCTCTAATCGTGCGCTCCGAAAATTAACGACGCGGCGATTAAACCGTAGGAAGTTAAATACCAATCGGCACCGAGGAGAGATTAAAGAGTGGCAGGCTTTGCGATTTTGTATCGCTCGAGAAAATGTGCAATTTTTTACGCCCTCTGGAATGTATTGCCACCGAAGTAATAAATAGAAAGAAAAACACTCGTTGGTGTTGAACAGTTGCCAGATATAAAGAAGGTCCGTGCAATTTCCTTCTAACTTCACTTGTTACAAAGTATTTAGCGATAGACGAAATAATTAATCGATTAGCCCTGAAGTATCCGAGATAGAAAGAAAAGTGTACACAACCTTTCTTGCAGATCATAATAGTACCTACAACTTTTATTTTAAACATTTTTCGAAATTTTGGCAAAAAAAAAAATTTTTCATTTTTCCGAGATTTTTCCAAGGGGTACCCCTTCAGATTTTGCAAAATTTTCGTTTTTTGCCAATAACTTCTAAACCGTAGGATCTACGAGAAAATTGCATCAGATCCTTTTTGTAGAGGACGACGAGATCTACAATTTCCATATAAAACTTTTGTGCTAGCGTTAATAGTTTACGAGTAATTTGCAAAAAACTGTTTTTTCGTTTTTCGTCAATAACTCGTTAAATATTGATGCTAGCGAAGAATTTTTATATGGAAATTGTAGATCTCGTCGTCCCCTACAAAATGGTCCTATACATGTCCCCCTACGTCCATCCGTTCAGGAGTTATTGACAAAAAACGAAATTTTTTTCCAAAAGTTCGCTGTTTCGACACTGGGATGGTCGGATTTTTTCAATACCCATAAAATGTCAATTAATCGTACTTAACTTGTTAAATATCGAAGTTAGAAGAGAAATTCATAGAATTTTTCTTGTAGAGGACATTAGGACCTACAACTTCCGTATAAAAATTTTTTCATTAGAGTCAACCGACTTCCTCGGTGCCAATTATCACTGAAAAGAACGATTGCCACTGTGTTTTGAGCTTCATTGGGTCCCATTCGCTGTCCCAACGATTACACGGGCAGTGCCACTTATATAGTAATATCTGCACTCCGCTTCCTTTTCACCGTGAGAGGAGCTTGACAGTCAATCCGCGCGCTGTGATTAACTTGTGCTCACAGCATTTAGAAAGAATGGAAGCCGAATTATTCGGCGAGCTGAGGCCTCAGGTGAGAAGCTCGTCCCTGATGCATCGCGATTCTAATATAGCAACGCAGGCGTGGAATATAGGTCGCTCTTTTATATTATGCCGCCACGCGTGCTCGCAGTGGGCGCACGCGCGACTGTCCGTGCATTACGCATCGCACACGCGTTATGAATTCGTTATCGCCGGCATTGTGCGCGGTAAAATCGGCGTAAATCGATCAACAGCTCCATTACTAACCAGGTAACTGCGGATGGAGCTTTTTCCTCTTGGACAAAGCGTCGTAAAGGAATACCGAGAGTGCCGCTTTTCTGATTCATCGTTTCAATGCTCGCGAATCATAAGTACTCTCTCGCACGCGAGGGGTGATTAATATAATAACATTTTTTAACTGCAATCTCGAATACACTTAAATACATATATTAACATTAAACGTACTGACAGCTTTTCCACAGTAATGTGTTACATTCATATTTTTCACTATATATAAAATATATATAACATAATTACTATTTAGTTTATATGTTTATGTTAAAATTATGGAAATGTATGTCAGTGATTAGAAATTGGGACGTAAGTGAGAACTGGGACTTATATATAGTCGTGGTTCGGAGGGACTCGGTGTTTTCTCGTTTGCGAGCGGGCGAAATAGACAAGCTTATTTTAATTCCCGCAGAGTTCCGCGCGTACAGTCTACGACCGGTTACGGCCGGCATAACAATGCATGACGTAACTCTGGGGTCGAATCCTCCTTACCTCCTCCGTGCAACGATGTTACAGGAAAGTGAAACTCTCGGAAACCAGGTCACACCCACATCGTGCTCGCAGCAGTGAACCGCGATGCCGATCTACGAAGGCTCTCTCCCCCTTTTAACATTTTCCAATCCGCGAGGGCAACGAACGGGAAGGGGTTTAGGGCGAAAGAGAGAGAGAGAGAGAAAGAGGAACCCTCTCCGAAGGGTCCACCCTCGTCGATAATATTTTCACGATGCCTCGACCAAATCTGGGTTCGTGCGCGGCGCCGTTTGAAATTTATTCAACCTCGGAGGTTCTTTACCGTCCCATTAAGGGACAGGCTATGTATCGGCGTGAGACCTTCACAGGTTGACGACGCGATACTCCGTGTAATTAAAAGTAGATAAGATTGTGGGGCAACTCAGGAATTCCCGTGGAAGTTAATCTTTCTTCCGAGAAACGGTCGTTTAGTAAATCACATACCTATACCTATGTATATCCTTCTTCTAACTGAGATCTTGGCGCGATACTTGCGTACGAGCCATCCCACTGTGTAACAGGTGATAGCAACAGGTCCGGGAAAATCAATTCCGTTGATAGGTAATACTTGCGTTTACTAAAATCTCTGAATTATGGTAGCTTTGAAGCGGCGATTAGTTTACTTATTTACTAAATGATCCGTGAGAGGCAGTCAGAACCCGAGGGCTTTTTAGACGTATCGACACGGTTGTGTACGAGAGCACGCGTTCCGCTTTGAGTAAGGGAAAAGAAGCGGGCGCGTGGGTGAGAAACCGTGCGTTGCTAGAGCTGGCCCTAACCCATATACCGTTGGAGCCAGAATAGAGAGCGAACGAATAATAGGAGGGTGGATAATAATACCGTTGCCAGTGTGTCGTTAATAGTAACATTGTCGGACACCCGATGACTTGGATCGAAACAGAGAAACCCTTTCTAAAAGATTAAGCAGCTATAAAAAAAGCGTCATTAGCTCATCTCGCGATGGACAATTATTAAATGTATGTCCAGTTCTGGAATGTAATTCTGATCGCCGATAAGCGAATGCTTTCCGTCTTATGGAAACAGCCGTATTATTCAATTAAATCGATGATGCACGCGCTCGCCTCTAATTATCCTCAGCCGAAATTCGTGCTGTCAGTAGCTCTGGCGTTGGCAGTGCTCGCGTCTAAAACAAGCGGCGACCGCGACAATGTGCACGTAGACATCCCGGCGTCAAAACTCGTGCATTATGTCACACTTTTAGCTCTACGTCCTTCCAAACGTCAAACAGACGGAAACGCGTTAACTCAGCTTCAAGAATCTTCGGCGGTTACTCACGCTCGGCGAAAATCTGCAACGGAATAAAACGTAAATGATAGATCTCATCGATCTTCGCCTGCGTCCCGATTATGCAACGTTTCGGATAATTAAAGTATCGATTAATCCGCGTCAGGCGTGTCAACGTTGGCCGAGCGTCACCAAATCGCCGGGCCGCTCTTTTATATCAACGATTTAGGGGGTAAACGAAAATAACCCTTGGAAAAAAAAGTCGTAGCAATTTTTCGTCGCTGCACAAATTATATTTCGGATATAATTAGACCGGCTTGCGTGCAGCCCTGAGACAAGTTGACGTAAGCCGAACGACTAATTATGTTACCCTCTTAAAACGCTGGATCAGTGTGCAGTGCCAAATGAACCGTAACTTTCGCACGTTTTACGGCCGTCGAAAAAACTCGTCTCGCGTAGCAAAAGCTTTGGAAATGCGAGATGTTTGTATTCGTAATTGCTACTAAACGCAGACTTCTATTGAATTGCTAATAGCGACTATTTAGAGGCTGGATGATCAGAAATAATTATCAATCACCTGTCGCTTAATGACTGAATCTTCGTCTTCTAAAAAGGAACGTCGCAGTTTGGGAGAAACATGCTTCCGTCCAGCAGAGAACCTGTTGATATCGATTCAGAGCCACGTGCTCTTCCAACCGCGAGTCTCTACTAACGAAAAGTCTCCATATTTCTCAAACGAGTCTATTAGAAACTTCGCGATTTGTTCATTTAAATTATAAAGCGTACCGAGAGGGATTCGTTTCAGCGATTCACGCGATTCTATGTGCGTGCACGCTTAAAGGACGCTGGTTAACCTGTTCCACGGTAGAAGAAACGCAGCGATGGCCACAATAGTGATAATCTATTTATCTGACTAACAACAAACTTATCTCGTGACTCACTCGCGGCGCGGTGGATCCGCGCGGCCGAGTCGCTTTCCGCTCGCGTCTGTTTGCGTGACACGCTCGATTTTTATTACCAGATTAAGAGTCGACAGGTTTATTATCATCATTGTTCTACCAGAGAAGATCCAAGCAGTATTTAATTAAATGTTTCCTTTAATCTTGTTTGAAAAAATAACTCAACTCCTTATCCATCTTATATTAAAAAAAAAACATGTTCCCTTCTTTAATGAATTAGTTTCTTTCATGAAAGAAGGTAAGAGATAATTTTGATCAAAGATCGATGATAATTCCTCTTCCTCGTGCACTTCCTATGTATGATTTACACAATTATGAGTAACATAACTACGAATGACTCAATGATTTCTCGTTAATTGTTGTTTCCAGTTATCTGAATGCTGTCTAGAGATAAAGGGATTCCTGATACTACTTGACTGTTTGTTCCACTTTTTTATTGTAGTTAGGTGTACGGGATTAAAGAATCGAGTAAATAGGGGGGGAGCGTTTCTCTTTTTCTCGACGATAGGTTGAACAAAGAACGCAGCTGGTTTTATATCAAAATATATTTGTGCATAGACAAGAAGACAACCGTGACAGGTAATCTCGTATCTAACATACATCAGTCATACGCCGAGGAACGCGTGCACACGCGTGTGGCATACAATACGTGCGTACCGCGTGCACGCGTTTCGATTGAGTCGTGCATCACCGAGAGACCCGATAAACGTCTTAGAAAAAAAAAGAAAATGAAACGAAATAAAATAAAATAGGGGGAGAAATATTAAAACTCGTTGGATAAGTACGCATCTAACGTAAGGTAAATAACAAATATCGTTTCTCTCGCACGCGGTCGAATCTACGGACAAAGAAGAAGAAAAAGAAAAGAGAAAAATGAATGAAGCCCGCTTCACGCGATTTATTATTTTATTTTTTTTTTTGCTATACGGTAACTCAAGGTAAAAAGGGGCTCGGTTGGACCGAGTCCCAGGTAACTTCGGTAAATAAATCTATCTCCTCGCTCTCTTAGCTCGTCGTCCACGTTCAGAAGATAATAATAATTAACGTTACACTCGCACGCATTCCGGATATTCTTCATGTACTTTGCTCATTTCCTGCTGTCCTTCTTTCACGCTACCTTTCTCTCCCTCTCACACAGAAAACGCTAGTCCGCTTCGTTTCGTTTCTCTAACAAAATATATTAGCTTTTTTTATATTTACATACATCTCATTATAATAAAATTAAAATTAATAGAGCTATAATACAAGAGCGTGTGACAAAGGTTTGTGCTTATCCTTTTTCATTCCGTAGGTGAGTGTGTGTATGGTTCTGTTTCCTCCCTTTCCACCCTCTCGGTGAGAGTGTCCACGTCGTCGTCGTCGTCGTCGCGGTTTGTACACGTATACTGATCAAAAAAAAATCTATTCGGTATCTCGGTATGCCGTTTTAGGTACATGCTAATGAGAAGAACGACGATCTAATTTAATCGTTCGACGTCTATAAGAACGCGACGCGGTGCACGCGCCGTCCACACGTCTCGCGTGTGCGAGTTTCCTCCTCGTGTACGCGTGTGTCTGTACCGATCGGTGCATCGAAAATGTATAATGTCAAGCGAAGATTTATGCGAACGAATTTACGTATGCGCTGTTCGTTTACGCGCGTACACGTGTTGGATGGACTCGCGTGTACACAAGCGCGCATGCACGTCCCTACGCATGTGGATGCGTGATTGATGCGCTCGTACACATCGATGCGTGATTTGTCCGGAATCGCGACGCGAAGTCCGTGCTGCGAATCGCGCGATGAGGTGGATCGAGACCCGCGGCCAACAATCACCCAGTCTTACGTATTTTGAGAGACCAAAGAGAAAAAGAGATAATAATAATAAAAGGCAGATACGAATGAGAAAAATGAACGAAGATGATCGAACGCATCGATCGTCTCCCGTTATCTACCTCTTGCAGAAGCTCCTAAGAGAGATTGAGAATTGTTCTTTTTTTTATGTTTTTTCTAAACCTTTTCTCGTTTTGACGAACGGGGAAGTGTCCGATGCACTCGGTGTACAAAAAAAAAAAGAACAGTTCGCCATGAGGCACTTTTCTTCCACACGTGAAGTAGTCGTCGCAAGCTCCAGCTGCCGAATAGCTCTCTCCCTGGTTCTTTTGCTCGTCCCTCCGTATCTCTCGTCCCGTTCCCACCGCGGTCTTACCGAACGAACGGACGCACGTGTATCTCCTCGCGTTCTCCGCTCCGCGGTACCAGAACGAAGCGACGTCCCGCCCGTTCGAAGAACGCGCGCTACGGCGAGCCGGAAGTCGGCCTCGCTCTCACAGTCGAATCGGTTTGAAAGGCAAGGGACGAAGGTCGACGCCGGTGTTCGAGAGAAAGGCGCAAAAGAGGCGGCGCGATGTTACCGGTGACGACTTCGTGCGCTACATGGGCCCCACCGCGTGCTGCTGGAACTGATCGAGATGCCTGGAGATCTCGCGGTGCAGCTGTTCCGGTACCACGCCGACGCTGCTGAACAGGGACCTCAGAACGTTCAATTCCTCCGTCAACAGTTCGATCCTCTTCTTGAGCAGGTCGTTATCCTTGACGAGCAGCTTCACCTTCTCCTCGGTCTCCCTCGATCGCACCTTCGCCTTCTCCCTGCTCTTCCTCACGGCTATGTTGTTCCTCTCGCGTCTCCTTCTGTACTCGTCGCTGGCTTTGTCGATCGCCTTCGTCTGTTTCCTCGCGGCAGACGCCGCGGCGTTCGCGTGATGCTGATGGGCCATCACCGGTTTCATCGGTCCACCCCGGGGCGGTGGTTGATGGACCGGTGCGCCCGGGTGGCCACCGGGTACCGTGGACGGCGTCAAAGTGGTGAACGTCGGTGCTCCGTTAGCGAACGGCCCGTTCGCCACCGGATTGTATCCGCCCGGTGGATACTGAGGGCAGTGACGGCGGTAATCCGCTGGGTCCAACGGCTCTTCTTTGATGCTGGGCGACTCCGAGCTCGAGCTGTTGCTGTCGCTACAGCTGTTACTGCCTTGGTGGTAACTCGCGCCGCTGTGAACGGGCTGCGGCATGTAAGCGAGCGTGGTACGCGGGTAACCGGGCGTTCTAACGTGCTTCACGGCACCGTTGCTCGCGCCCAGCATGTCCAACAGACCGTCGCTGAACTGGTTGTCGTCGATCAGGTGCTGGAGGTCCAGCGATATCTCCGGCGTGTTCAGATCCGTCAGCTCGCCGGCAGCGGCGCAGTGTTCCGCGTACTGCTGGTGAAGGCTAGCCTTGCTGGCTGAGACCTTGCTCACGATCGAGCCGCTCTGCTGCTGGCTGTGATTGTGATTCACCTGCAACGCCGAGTTATTGTTGTTCGCCGCGTTGCTGTTGTTATTATTGTTGCTCCCCTGGTGGTTGTTGTTGTTGTTGTTGCTGAGTACCTGGCTCTTCTTGAGATCGGCCGCGCCGTGGGCCTGGGCCTGGTGGGCCGCTGAATCGTACATGACTGGTGACTCCATCGCTCACTCGCACATCACAGATACGATATATCTCTGCCGCAATACTTTTATCACCTCGCGTGTATACCGTCCCGAAGATATCCGATCGTCTTTAAGTTTTTTATTGCGCCGCGGGTATTTTCGGTGAGAACTATGCCCGACGGCGATGATTCCGTGACACGCAGCTCGCTCCGAAACTTAGCCGCGAGACGACCTCGAACGGCAAGCCGGGGATTTTCCCGAGTGCGGACGAGAGCTGACACTGATCCAAGTACCGACCAAGTCCAATTTTCAAACGCGGATCCTCGCGCACCGCGCTACCGTTCTCCCTTCGCCGGGAGCGCACGACGACTTCGTCGCGTCTCTGAGACTCGGCCGAGAAACCGCGTGCTCCGTTTGCGCCAACGCGTTCACCACGCCTACACGCGGGCCTTTTCGTCCGTTACGTTCCGCGGTACACCACAAGGAATGACTCGAAGTACGAGAAAACGATACCACCCGCACGAGAGTTGGCGCACGACTGAGCGGCTTCGCGGCATGTCGCAAGCTTTCAATGCGGCGTGCGTCGAGAGCAACTCCATGGCTCATTGCGCTTGCGCCCGCGCGGTTCCCTCTCGCGCCCGCTCCGACTCGCCTCTTTCCTCCTGCCGCGATCCGCTCCGGGCCCGAGAACGCGCGCGGATCCCGCGCGTCCAGTGGCGTCCACCGCCTCTCCGCCCCTCTCGCTCAGCCGCTAACTCGATCGTGCCTCTCGCTTCCTCTCCTTTCTATCTCCTCTTCCTCCCTCGCGTTCTCTCTCTCTTTCTCTTTCCCACTGTGCAAGATCTCTCTTTGTTCGTCGTGCGGGCTCGACACGCTGTCGTCCCATCGCGGCATCGCGCGACAGGAAAACTTTTCCGGTGCTCGCCTTTCTCGGTTCTATTTATAAAAACTTATACACGAATCCGGCGTCCTTTCGACGCCGTGGATTTTCCACAGAGGCCGAAAGAATTTCCACGCGACGCTCAATGCCCCTGTTACGTTACCTCGCCTCAGCTCGCTGTCAGGTGCACGTACGCGCGCTTCCACCGTCCCGATGACGGCACACGTTTTCGTTCGTACGCAGAGGTAACGCGCGATTTCTTGCGCCGAGACGGCCAATCGGACGATTATCGTTCACCGTCATCGTTGGCCACTCGATCGGAACCGATTTCTATACGATAGGGTACACGGTTGATTCGCCAGTTAGTGCACGCTGATATCTGTCCAATTGCTTGCGTGAAGTTGCGCAATTAGCGGCAACCGGGTGAGCGAGGATATTATCGCTAACGAACGCGCGATGCTTACGCTATGTGTACCGATCTCAGCCACGGTACTTGCGTCCCGTTGCGTGTCAAAATTTGCATTCATATCATTAGATGATAAGTACGATGCGAGTGATAGCAAGTTTAAACAGCAGAAAGGAATGAGAAAAAATTCGCTCTGATTAATTCCGTTCGCTTCGCGAAATGTCGCAAGTAGTTCAGTCAGAAATTGGACTGGCAACCCTATCCAGGAGAATCAATTTTGCATACGTTTTGTCTCATTCCCGTTCTATCTCTATTACAGCGGACCGTGTCCTTTATGTTTCGCGTCTGTTATGTATCTAGCGAATGCATTTCGTGCGACGCGATGACGTCGACGGACAATTTTGGATTGACATTTGTGCGTCGCGTCGTCGGGAGAATTTTGAATATTCCTCGTCGCGCGTAGATCCGCGGCTCGCAGTGACATCTTGTGATACAGGACGTAACAGGCAGCAGTCGGCTAAGAGACCGATCAGTGACGAACGTGTCCGAGCGCGACCGAATTTCTTCGTCGTGATATTAGCCACAACAAAAAAATTGGTAACATTCGCGTAAAAACTTTTCGGCGATTTATTATATTTTTCGCGTTCTTTTCGTGATCGCATCGTCGCTGCGAGGGATCTAGCGATCAGCCAAGACCGGGTGAGTCGACGGATAGTTGGTCTAGGTTATTTTTCCGCACGCGTTCCCGTCCGCTGTGCCGTTTTGGGCCTTTGACGGAACGGGCCGTTGATCGTACGCGTATTGTTATGACAAAACGCGTGTAACACGTCACGGGAAGCGTCCCCGAATGTCCGGGCAGGACGGAACCGCGTCGTAGTAGGACATTTCCCTCTTTATTTATTCCTTCGCCTCTTCGAAAGCTCTCGAGACTTGAGCGTGTGGCGCACGGGCCACGGGTTATTCAATTGCTTTTTCTGCTTAACCTACACGAAATCTGGTACGCGATTCCGCAGAATGTAGACGCGTTCCTTCCTTGCGTTCTTCCAAATTTTACTTCTCGTTCTTTCAATTAATACCCGTTTCACTTAATCCTCAAATAATTAGACATTTGATTTAATGCATACACGCGTATGTTTCTTTATCTCTGCCCTCGTGTTTACGATTCGAATGAAATGTTTTCTTTTTGTTTCTAGCTTCGAAACGTAAACGAGAAACATTGGAAAATTTTTCGTCAACAATGGCAGATGAACAGCAACAGTTTTTTCTTAAATGGAATGATTTCCAATCTAATATGGTATCGTCGTTTAAACATTTACGAGATGAAAAAAGTTTCACGGATGTGACACTAGCCTGCGACGGTCAGACTTGTAAAGCTCACAAAATGGTGTTATCAGCTTGTAGTCCTTATTTTAAAACTTTGTTAGAGGTACGTCAACGTTGCAAGTAGCTTGTGCCAAGCTTTTGCATGATGGGAATTTTTTACTGGAATTTTTTCACTTACAGGAAAATCCGTCCAAACATCCTATTATAATTCTAAAAGACGTCGCGTACAGTCACCTTCAGGCAATCTTGGAGTTCATGTACGCGGGTGAAGTGAATGTTTCGCAAGACCAGCTGCCAGCATTTCTTAAAACGGCTGACCGGCTTAAAGTCAAAGGGCTAGCAGAAGCACCTTGTGCCATGAAGAGAGAGGGTTAAAGTTTCATTTATAGTTACGGTAAGAATTCTAAAATTGCATTGGAACGGATCGGAACGGTACATTAGTTAAATGTTTATATTAGATCTAATTCGCTATGCGTGACATTTTAGGATGTCGGGAAGCGGACTGAAAAAAGTGTAATAATGTAAAGTGATTGCATAAAGACATACCACACACGATAAAAAAACAAAACGAAAAAAAAAAGGAGAAAACATGCTACGTGTCCAAACGTAGCACAACTCAGTGTCCTCTGGTTCATGACTTGGATCAACACACGGCGACAATGTAAATTATGCCTTTTCTTAATCTCAGTTAATGTTAATGTTGTATTGAATGTATGTATACAAAATACGGTAGAGACGAAATGTTGATGTTTGTCTTGAACCCGTTGGCGTCAACGACGCGGCCGCGGCGGCAACATTGATTATTTTTTTAAAAACAAGTGCTGCAAAAAAAAATGAAAAAATACGAGAAAGAAACTAATAAGTGGGTCACCAATAGTTTGCAATACACGAGACAGTTTTGTGAATTGAACAAACCGGATAAATGTTAAAAGACACGTTTACAAACTGCTGTTTTTTAAAAAACGGATCTACTGACTCACGATATATACTTTCCTATCGGCGGTTCCATTGATGGATCCGTTCATGAGACATTCAAATTCCTCGAGTCTTTACCATGATACCTGCTAAGCGCAATCTTTTCTTTTTTATCGTTTCCTTTCTAACGAGAGATAAGGCGTTTCTCTGTTGTAATATAAAGCGGAAAGAAATATATATAAATATATATATGTACATTCAGAGGATAAAATAATAGTTGTAAGTTAATGTGTTAATAATAATGAGGGTTTCGCCACCACACTCGCTTGGTAATGACTTGGGAGATATTTCGATCTTATCGTGAATGGATCCGCGACACCTCCGGTAATCCCGTAATAAAAAGATTGTTAAATCAAGTTTACTGGAAGTTGTAACATGCGTGTCCATACGTTGCTCTCTTTTCTTCGTTACCCCCCCGTTGTGTTCGGTCGCTCATCGGACACAGCGCACGTGGATTGATAGATCATCGTGTCGTTTCTCATCGATGTACACCCGAAATTTGGAACAGAGGGAAAGCAATCGTCTCGCACAGTTTTACTTTTCTCGAATTCGACCGATACCAGTTACCTCTTCTAGTGATCGTGATTTTTTACTTAACCAAATACTGCCAGTATTTGTACCGGCGTATTCACAATATTACCGATAGACCAAATTTATTTATGATAATAATATATTAAGGGTTGAATGTCTCTTAAATCGAGGGAAGGTTATTGTAATATAATAAGCGAAGCAAATTTTTGTAAAGTCGGAGCGCACAGTTCCTTTCCCCTCCCGATGAAATCAGAATAATCAGAGAGATATAAAGAGAAAAGGAAAAATGTCAGGAAACATTGTCGAGTCAAAAACATGCGTGCTTTAAAAAATGAAAAAGGAAATTACCGCAAGTTTCAGTTGTATGTAATCGCCAGTGTCTAAAAACTTTTTGCTATTCGCATTTTTAAATATTCATTTTATTTCACGCTTTTATTCTTCCTTTTATTCCGTACGATTCTTGGCTATTTTTATTACTACTTTACGTTTTTTTAGTTCTAATACGATACAACTCTTCCGTTTATTTTCTTGAGATAAAGTAAAATATTTTATTTACGTTCGATGTGATTTTTCAACTTTGTATTTAAAACGAGCACGAGTACTTCTCCGACACCGAATGCCAATGTAGGATATCACGTTATCCTGCATGCATACGCTAGAAATGAAATGCGAACGAATTGTGCCGTAGCGTAATCTGTTTTTCGTTTATCACCCCCCGTCGGACGTCTCCGTGAACAACAGATTGACGTTCGAGTGAAATTTCGATTAAGTTCTGATGACGAAATCGATAACGACCGATCTTTGCATGAAGTGTATGAAAATGGGACCAGCCGCGACGGACGTCATAGATGTCAATCGGAATTGACTTTGCCTCTGTAAATCTTCGTTGACGACCCCACCTTATGTTCGATCGCATATCAATCTTTTTTTCACGACCTCACGTTTTGCCAAGCGAGAAAATTGTTCACGGCCGGCCGACGGCGTGTACCGGAACTCTGAGAACGAAAGTCAGAAAACGGAGGAAGAATGAAAAGAATCCGTGTCTGTTCACAGTATTTAAGACAGCCTTTAACGTTTAAGATGTGGTTGGGTTCAGTTCCTACAATGACACGTTTATCGGGCATTTGGTGGTTTAAATGCGAATCGTACCGTGTGTATTTGCTAAAGCGTCAACGTTGACCTCTGTATACAATTTAGAGTAGAAAATGTTATACGAGTGATAACGATTCGAAATACATACGTTCGCAACTTGTTGACAAGCCTTCCTCTACACTATCTACCGACTATACTTTGCAAGCGCAAAGCCAACTCCTCATTTTTTACTCTCCACTTTGTCCGAGCCTATTTTTGAGAACGACCGACTTGCGATCTATCGATTGTTTGCCTAATCTGTTTACGCAAAGACGAATCTCTCATTCCTTTTGTACTTCTACTGTTTTATCATTAAACTCTATTCCTCTGTTCACCTCTCTCTCTCTGTTCATCTATCTCTAAACAGCGACCGATATTCATTTCCCCCTTCTCTTTGCTAATTATAATGTGACTCGATGATGATTATGATTACAATACCACGATGTTGAGATATGAAAATAAATTGTGTAAATATATAATTTTCGTAAAATCGTTGCTCTTCCCTTGAATCCCTTTCGATGTCAAACGCAGGATTTGCAAAGACCACATTTATTTGGTTACAAACATACAAACGTTACAAATGTACAGTTGTACACGCATACAGATTACAAAATACTAATAGATATTAAGAATTTTATGTATAAATAAATAGAGGTAGCTTGACGAATATATCTGATATTATATCACATTATTAATATCAGTTGTTGCGTACATCTGAAAAAAAAGGTTTAGTTAAAACTGATACGCAAAAATAATGTAATCGATGAGACTTAGATTATCGTTTGTAGAGACACTTACTTGGCGTTGGGTAGCTGAATACGGGGTATCTGGGTGCGAATGAATTATCTGCACCGAAAACATACTTCGATTCGTCGTCATCCCTGATGTGTTGAGCCCCTGATGTACATTCCTCGTAGGAAGGTGGTGCTATATAAAAAATCGGCTATTGAGTGTCCTTTAAACAGTTAGTATTAAATTCAAGTTTCTTACGTATGTTCCAATTGGGTTTCGGTCGGTTTGGATCGACAAAACCGATGTTCTGGGAACTAGGTCCAGGTCCTGGAAGAGGAGCAGTCGGTTCGAGCGATGAATAAGGAGGCGGGTTAGCTGGCATAGTCGCAGGTCCATTTTCTGACTTAGTGGGATTCGGAGGTGCAACGTTTACGTCCTCTAAAGGAGGTGCAGACGGTGGACAATAGAGCGGTACCGTTCCAATCAAGACGGGATAGCTCCTTTCAATTCTGGTATGCCTGATTTCACAAGCGAGCGCAATTAAGTGACGTATCGTTTTTGTAACAAATAACTTTCTATTCAACGATATCAGAGTTCGAGTGTTTCTCAAATCTAAATACGTTCATTCTTGCCAATAGTGATTAGTCAGATTGTATCACAAGTTTCTTATTTCTTCTCGATTCTTTTTTAGATTATCCTGTCTATCTTTGATAAGATTCAATGTTACTTACGGTCCCGAAACGTGAACGGTGGCGACCGTTTGATAAACCAAATCTATAATGCGGCAATGGAGCAGATTAGACGGTGCTATGGGCGGTATTCTCAACTCTGCCGTATATTGTCCGCGATCCGGGATGTGGCCAGAGGTTTTCGTCGAAATTATCGGGGACGTCTCATCTTTGCTTTTAGATGTCGCGTGGAATGTCATTTTCTGAAAAAAAAGGATTAATGTGGAAATACACTTTGGGAAGCCGACTTAAAAAGGAACGCTGCTCACCTGAACCAGTTTCGTGCACAGAGCCTCGATTTTTACGCTGTCGGACGAATTCTCATAATCGTACCTGGTGTTTATCACCTGCCCCGGTACGAAACCGGTACTCGGCAAGCTGATGCGCACACTCATCGAGCCAACATTGACGCAGCAACAACAGAAATCCTTTTTCGCCTCGTCGTCGATTCCTAACTGTTTCAAAGTATACAAATACTCGTTAACGTCGCAAATTGATAAATTGTACGGGGTGAACGAGGGTCGGATCCTTACACAATTGTGACGATGCTCGTTCAGATCCAAAGAGGAGACGACGGTGAAGGCTGCCTTGCACTCGTGGTCGAACTTCCACGGCCTGTCGATCACTACTTTCACAGTGTATCTAATTTGTCCGATCCTGTGCTCGAAACTACTCGGTATGTTATAGGGCAATTGAAATTCAAAAGGGTACTGGTTGGATCCGCTGGGAATCGTCACCCGCGATCTTGCTAGAAAAATGGTTCAGAATACAAACTTGTTTCAATTCATTTATCGTTGCTCGTCAGATAATAATTATAATTATTCATCGTAGACTTCGTTAGTTAATTTACTCACAATTATCTGTACTAATCACATTGTACTTGAAATGAAAGTATTCTTCGCGATTAGAGTAATGAACGGTTTCTGTCGTGTTATGCCCATGAGAATCCTTCGTACTTCTGGATTCAGTCCAATGTACACGTGCTTCTCCTTTAGCGCAGAACACTACTCCTATGACATAATCATTGACCGATTATCACCAATTTCTCCCAATTATCACGTTTGATAAAAGTAAAAAAAAATCGTGCGCGTTATCGCTTAATTCGAGACACCTCTCGAATAGAAATTCTGACAATCTGCACATACATAAATGATTTATAACATTAATCAACAATAAACATCACGCGGAACTGTTCACGATTAATCCTGGATCAGCCGCGACTTCCGTTTCGTATCGCAGCACGTTTCCTATCGTTATACCGCGCACCGTTTAGTGCACATCGCGAGGACTCCCCTATAAAATGAGCCCAAAAACGCCTCCCTACGACCATCCGTTCGGGAGTTATTGAGGAAAAACGAAAAGTCTTTTTAAAAGTTCACAGATTCGACGGGCGAATTCGCCTTCAGATTCTGCAATTCGCCCGAGGAATCTGTGAACTTTTAAAAAGACTTTTCGTTTTTCCTCAATAACTCCCGAACGGATGGACGTAGAGGAACGTAAGTACGCTCATTTTGTAGGGGACGACGAGATCTACAATTTCTGCGTAAAAAGAATTCGCTAGTGCCAATAGTTACAGAATTATTTGCAAAAAACTGTTTTTCTGTTTTTCGCCAATAACTTCCAAACGGATGGGCACAAGGGGACGTGTTTAGATCCATTTTGTAGGGAACGGCGAGAGCTACAATCTCTATATAAAGGTTTCTCGCTAGCATCAACAGTTCGCGAGTAATTTGCAAAAAACCGTTTTTCGTTTTTCGCCTATAACTCTTTAACTATTGGCACTAGCGAATTCTTTTTGCACAGAAATTGTAGACCTCGTCGTCCCCTACAAAATGCTTCTAAATACGCCCCCCTACGTCCATCCGTTCGGGAGTTATTGAGGAAAAACGAAAAGTCTTTTTAAAAGTTCACAGATTCGACGGGCGAATTCGCCTTCAGATTCTGCAATTCGCCCGAGGAATCTGTGAACTTTTAAAAAGACTTTTCGTTTTTCCTCAATAACTCCCGAACGGATGGACGTAGAGGAACGTAAGTACGCTCATTTTGTAGGGGACGACGAGATCTACAATTTCTGCGTAAAAAGAATTCGCTAGTGCCAATAGTTACAGAATTATTTGCAAAAAACTGTTTTTCTGTTTTTCGCCAATAACTTCCAAACGGATGGGCACAAGGGGACGTGTTTAGATCCATTTTGTAGGGAACGGCGAGAGCTACAATCTCTATATAAAGGTTTCTCGCTAGCATCAACAGTTCGCGAGTAATTTGCAAAAAACCGTTTTTCGTTTTTCGCCTATAACTCTTTAACTATTGGCACTAGCGAATTCTTTTTGCACAGAAATTGTAGACCTCGTCGTCCCCTACAAAATGCTTCTAAATACGCCCCCCTACGTCCATCCGTTCGGGAGTTATTGAGGAAAAACGAAAAGTCTTTTTAAAAGTTCACAGATTCGACGGGCGAATTCGCCTTCAGATTCTGCAATTCGCCCGAGGAATCTGTGAACTTTTAAAAAGACTTTTCGTTTTTCCTCAATAACTCCCGAACGGATGGACGTAGAGGAACGTAAGTACGCTCATTTTGTAGGGGACGACGAGATCTACAATTTCTGCGTAAAAAGAATTCGCTAGTGCCAATAGTTACAGAATTATTTGCAAAAAACTGTTTTTCTGTTTTTCGCCAATAACTTCCAAACGGATGGGCACAAGGGGACGTGTTTAGATCCATTTTGTAGGGAACGGCGAGAGCTACAATCTCTATATAAAGGTTTCTCGCTAGCATCAACAGTTCGCGAGTAATTTGCAAAAAACCGTTTTTCGTTTTTCGCCTATAACTCTTTAACTATTGGCACTAGCGAATTCTTTTTGCACAGAAATTGTAGACCTCGTCGTCCCCTACAAAATGCTTCTAAATACGCCCCCCTACGTCCATCCGTTCGGGAGTTATTGAGGAAAAACGAAAAGTCTTTTTAAAAGTTCACAGATTCGACGGGCGAATTCGCCTTCAGATTCTGCAATTCGCCCGAGGAATCTGTGAACTTTTAAAAAGACTTTTCGTTTTTCCTCAATAACTCCCGAACGGATGGACGTAGAGGAACGTAAGTACGCTCATTTTGTAGGGGACGACGAGATCTACAATTTCTACGTAAAAAGAATTCGCTAGTGCCAATAGTTACAGAATTATTTGCAAACAACTGTTTTTCTGTTTTTCGCCAATAACTTCCAAACGGATGGGCACAAGGGGACGTGTTTAGATCCATTTTGTAGGGAACGGCGAGAGCTACAATCTCTATATAAAGGTTTCTCGCTAGCATCAACAGTTCGCGAGTAATTTGCAAAAAACCGTTTTTCGTTTTTCGCCTATAACTCTTTAACTATTGGCACTAGCGAATTCTTTTTGCACAGTAATTGTAGACCTCGTCGTCCCCTACAAAATGCTTCTAAATACGCCCCCCTACGTCCATCCGTTCGGGAGTTATTGACGAAGAACGAAATTTGTTGTCAAAAGCGAAAGTGCTTGGCTAAAAAGTTCATCGTGGCGCCATCTAGCGCTCACGGCTGCGAACATGCTTCACTCCGACATGTACGGCAATATTTCTGCAATTTTCGTTTTTCCTCAATAACTCCCGAACGGATGGTCGTAGGGAGGCGTTCTTGGGCTCATTTTGTAGGGGACGACGAGATTTACAATCACTGTATAACAGTTTCTCGCTAGCATCAACAGTTCACGAGTAATTTGCAAAAAACTGTTTTTCGTTTTTTGCAAATAACTCGTTAACTATTGACACTAGCGAAATCTTTGTACGCAGAAATTGTAGATCTCGTCGTCCCCTTATCGCGAGACATCAAACTCTTGCAGTATTGTTCAATACTCACAGTATCACGCAACAAGTGTTACGTACAAAGTTTGTCTGCTTTGCATTACAATGATACCGATAACTAAGCATGTTATCGCGATTGGAAGCGCTCCCGTTCTCGGTCAAGAGCGAACGAGTTTAAATTTAACGATCAATCGTCGGGTCTTTAAAATCGAGCTGAGAATCTTCGGGTTTGAAAATTATTTTTAGCACATAGGTTAGAACAAATATTTCTAAATGCATCGTCAATTTTAAGGCTTACCTCGAACATGCTTGTCACCGTAAACGTCCACGATAATATTACCACTGACGCGTTCACCAGACAAGTACGTGGCACTAGGTCTATCAAAAATGATGCGAAATGATCTTAAAGGAGGCATGTTGTGATAAATGAAAGGGAGAGTGGCTTGCGTCGAATCGTTCTTATCGAGCGAGCTTGCTATCGTATAAAACTACGCACACTGAGGAACAGCGAACAGACGATACGTTCGAAACCGTGGCTCTACTGACGTCGCCGACGACTAAAAAGCCTCTATTATACAGATCAAACGTGTCAATGAATCACCGTATCACTAAAACAGGAAGCATCGAGAGATAAGGATTATCAAAATTATATCGAACAATTAGCGATAGGAAAATTAAATAAGATAATTTGACAATCAGACGAATGTCAGTAAGTGTGTACAAGTGCGCAGGATCGCGGCAAAACGGATTGCCTTCAAAGAGCCGTCAAGCTTCTTTTGGCCGGTATTCAGAATCGTTACGTTATATTTAAGAACGCCTTAAGCATTTGCTCGAGTCTGTTTCTCGTATAAATCAGAGACTGGAAACATGGGATGGACAGAGATAGCAAATGCTTAAGACGGTTTTCAGAATAAGCAACGACTTTGAATACCGGCCTTTGACCTGATTCCCCTGTGCTATCAAGCGCCTTATTGACAAAACTTTGACCACTCCTTGAATCGATAAATAAAGCGACGTTTCAAGCTACAATTTTCCGATCGCGTCATTTTAATCTAAGCATACAATTTATAAGTCTTTTAACGGGCGACCAATTGCGTTAATAGAAGCGTTAAAATCTAGCAGGCATCCAGCGTACGGATGACTTCCCAGCGGGAACCGCACGTTTGACTGGAGCCCGTGAACAATTTTCCGGTCCGGCAAATGCAGTCGGCGGTTACCTGTTGGACGCGTTTGCCGAAGTTGGCGGGAGATGTGCGAATTCGATCGCAATTCCATCGGACAGTTTATATACGTCGTATGTAATCGGCCGGCATCCGTTAAACCCAAAAGGGCTCGTCGCGTTGGTAACTGTCTCTGCGGTTTTACATGGGAATTCAATTTCCCTTGGGCTAATAACCGCTCGTGCCTTTGCCTTCCGGTCGGCATGTCGCGTATCGAAGGAAAATCCCTCGTCAAAGAGCAACGTTTAATTTACTCTCATCGTACGAACTCATTAGACACGATTAATTGCGCTGCTCCTTGGAACGCAATTTACTCGTTGCGAGGAGTTCCTTTTTGAAAATCGGGTCGATGCGTTTGCACGGTGCCTCGCCTCGCGAATTACGACGAACATCAGTCGAGCTCGACGATGTGAAACTAGTTGCAAAATTCATGGCCGAAGTCATTTCTGGTCGAAAAGCAATCCAAGTATCGCGAGTATTTATCTTATCGATTACACGAGCAACCATCGTCGTCGGCTTGTCCCTATCGTTCTTGTATAAACTGTCTTCGTCAAATACCAATATTAGCCATTCATTGAACTCTATTATCGTGCTACGTATTAAAAAGAAATGACTTTAAGAAGCATCGACCGTAAAGCCAGCACGTGACATTTGACTTGCCACCTCGTTACGCGCTCCGCCGTAAACCGCCTTGAGTATCCTAAGCGTATGACCAGGGTCGAATTGACAGAGAACACTCGAGGGATCTCGTATTTTTTATTTAATACAGAGTTGCCACCCTTGGGCCGAAGAGTAAAGAAATGGATCGCATTGATAAAGAGGCACGTGCGAAGTAGTGTGAAAGCCCGGGGGATGCCGGGGGTGGGAGGTCGAGATCTGGCAGGGGTGGAGATGGTAGCCGGAACGCTTTAACCCCTCAGTAACGCGGCAGCCTCCGTCCAGCCGAGGCACCTGTGTTCCACGCGTGTCCCTCTTCGACGTTCCCATCACCAATCGAGTTCCATTCTCTATCTCTTCTCTACCTGACTGGTTCATCGCGCTTTTATGAAGTCACTGGAAGTGACGAGAAGTCGTCGGGGACCGGAAGGGAGAAGACAAAGAGCAACGCTCATCCTCGTACGCTTGGGATCAACAGGTTAATTCGCAGAGGCTGTCCGAACCCACTGGTGAGTTCGTAATCTCTCGTTTGTTTATACGACTGGATATTCGAACAGGTGAAGATTAATTACTCGTGTGATTTGCATGTTCACTTTCGTTCGTTATCCGAAAACCGTAGAGCCAGCCAGCGGTACTCCTGTTTGTTATCGATTTCAGAATGATACCAAAATTAATTCGCCAAGATGAATGGGAAACGTGCACCGCTACTTTGTTACACAACCGGGTATTTATATGAAATTCGCATTTGCGCGGATCGTACTAATCGCGAATTGATTAAAATTGTTTCCATCGTACGGCCAATTTGGTTTCCCGTCGCTGCGAATCCAAATGCATTTTCAATTGTTGTGTCAGCGAGACATGTATTATTTATCGTTCGCGTTATTAGCTGTTTTTCATTGAATCCTTGGGAAATCTGTTTCGTTTCTTTGTCGGGACGCGGAAGTTACGATCGCTCGTTAACTTTATCTCGTACTATTAAACTTGGTTGCTCGTCGCGGTTTTTATCGCCACAATTTCGTTTCGCGTAACATTCAAGGGATTTAATCGATTTATCATGAGAAATAATCGTCGTTTTCAGGTGAACGGAGTGATCATTCTCCAGGCTTTAAACGCCCGCGGACGAATCCTGTAGAAAATCGTGTATTCTTTTCACGAGATTCCTCAAAAGAAGGAGAAAAGGCTTGGAGCCCCGGAGATGAAAATCGAACACGCTCCGAAAGGTCGGCGCGGATCGCTAGTTGGTGACCCGGAGCAACAAAGAGTCTCGCGTTTCATCGCCGCGGTGGAAGCACAATGAGCCCTGTACACTGTACAGGCTTCTATCTTCCCTCGGTAGACTGAGGGAGAACGGAGGAAAAGCACAAAGAGCGGCCGGGGGCGGAGGGCAGGGAACCGGAAAGGGAAAAGCATTCGTCGAGTCATCGCGCGGTGAGATGGCGACCAACAGCCCCGGACAATCGATACATCTGAAATCTCCGCGGAGTCCGCGACAGTTGCCGCAACTGCCTCAGATTCCGATCGGCGGTCAGCGAAGTCCCACGCAGCTGTCCGTGAACAAGTCGCCGCGCACGGCTCTTGTATTCGAGTTCCCACCGGAGTACTACCCCGAGACGCCCAACACGAACTTCGACTTCGAAGAATTCGGACGGGCGAGCGAGCTCGACCGAAACCCCAGAAGTCCTGGTTATTACCACCGGCAAGGATGCAGGAGCCCCAAAAGCGCCAACGCAGATCTGCTCCACTCGCCGGGAAGGAAATCGCCCGTGCCTCAGTTCACCGAGGGCAGAAAGAATCTGGGCAAGACCATGAGCTACCCACCGAGGAGCCCCATCTCCGCAGGTCCCGTGGTTCCCGCCAGGTCGCCCAGTTCCTCGAATTTCGGCTCTAAGAGCCCGAAGATGTTCGACCATCGGAAGAACTTCTGTTTCGGGTTGAAGAGTCCCATGTCTCCTACGATCGTGACCCACCCTAGTTACTCGTTCATCAGCCCGAAGCACTCTGAAATGAACCTCGAACAGCAGTGCAAGGCGGGCTACAAGAGTAACACGGGGTCTAGGACGTCGTCCATAGAAGGATCGTTCAGAGACAAGAACGACGGTCCTAACGAGAAGAAGAGCAAGAGGCCTGGACGCTTCAATCGTAGCCAGGGTTGTTTGAACGAGACTGGGAAGAGCCAGAGCGAGGGCAAAGAAGAAAATTACAGCAGGAGCGGGAGGAGCATCTGGAGGAGGTCGACCAGTGATTTAACGGATATGGACGCGGACACTGAAGTGACTCTGCTGTCCAGCCCGAGCAGGCGAGGGTCCATGAAAGGCGGTCTCGGTAAGTTTTCCTCCTGATCGCTCTGTTTACTCTTGCCGTAATTTGACATCGTCGATATTCTCAAGCTTCTACAGAATCCTCAGTTAAATCAAATAAGCTCATCTGTTCATTTTATATTGGAATATTAAGAAAGTCAATCTTTATATGTCTGACAGATCTAATTTCGCTCTGTAAGGTTTCTTTTAATCAAATCACTGGATAGTGGATTATTTGAGAATACAGTCTTACCGATTTGTATCACGTTTTGCTCGAAATCTTTGACCAGGAATTGGAGAGATCGAAGGGGATTAGCTCCAAACATCCGACGGATCCGGATAGTAAGTCGAGGCGGTGAAAGCGGAATTGGAACGCGAGTGAATAGGTTTTATTCGTGATCTTCTAAACGAGGACCCGATCCGGCTGTAAGAAATGATTACGCCGATTCGACGCTCCTATTCAGCCCCTGAGATTTTAATCACGTCGCGGCATTCAGTGGTTAAACTTATAAGTCTTATAACAAACGGAAACGAGAACGCCGAACTTTCGTAATGGGAACGCGCTTAAAACGATTAACTGGTAATAGCAGTGTCATCGATGAATCTTGAGGAACGATAAATAGTGAGCGGGATAAGACGGATTTAATACGGGCTGCCGGTGACAATTACGGAATCAACGCGCAATCGTGGAACAATTTATGCGAAACAAAATTCGTCGAAACGGCCGAATATAATTCAGACGGTAACTCGGCTGAATTTATGTTCCTCCGGAATTTATGCAGTTTCGCTTCTCTTGAATAATAATAGAAGAGAGAAATTTAACGGTTTGAGAAAACACGCCGGTTCCATTGTTATTATTATTATTATTATTATTATTAAACGCCTGGCCGAGGGAGAGGACGAAACGGAGGCCCGACGTGTAATATCGCGACGCACGCGGCAAGGAATTTTCCGGCCACGTGGACTCGTTCGCAGGTATGCCAGGAGCATTAATTAAAAACGATAATCCTCTCGCCCGTTACGCGCCGCTTTAGGACGAGAAGGAAAAGAATACAAATAAAATCCGTCCGCGTAACCGGTGTAGCTTCGTTAATCAGCACGCGGGTGCGACGCCTCGATGGTCCAGGTAATTAGACCGCCGTACGAGCCCATCTGATTACGCGTGTAATGTAATTTCGTGATTTCGCCGGTCACGAGGATTGCTCATGCGACGACGAATCGATAATTAACTCCCTTTGGCCTTCTCTCGGAGGTGCGCGACGGCTCCATTAATTAATTCTTTTTCACGCTCATTGCGTCTCGCGAACGCTTTTCGCGGTTCGCGCGGTTCCGTCTCGCCGCCGGGCGAATCGACCTATTTTTGGTTAGCAAATTGTTAATTAAAAATCTTTTGATTACCAACTCTCGCGTATTAAATACTGGGTCGTTTAAGGGAAATGTAATCTTGCTCTTTAACGAGAACGGTGGCGCAATTACTGCCTTTACTTACGAGAGAATCCCTTTGAACGAACTTCGCGGGTCGTATTCGGCGGAATTCCACGTTTCACGGAACCCTTCTTTGTGTTTCAGCCTACCTGGCGTCGCGGCGAGGTTCGCGCGACAGCCAGTGCTCCAATTTGTCGAACGTCAGCAACGAGGATGTCGGTCCGCTGAATTTCACCGCTCACCCCCGCGGCAGGCAGCGAAGGACCTCCAACTTCTTGGAACTACCCGGTACGGGCGCACGTATTTCTATCGTTTATTAACCGCTCGGACGAGATTTTTCCAAAGCCTTTGTTTAGCCGTTGGACCGACTTAAGTTCCGTGAGAAATTACAGACGTGTACAAGTTTCGCCAGCGAGAGCGGCGAAGTTTTTCCTTATTAGTACAAGCTTCAAGCTGCCAGAGTTTGAAGATTAAAAATTGTTTTCCGAACGCCATTTATAAAGTCGTTTAAAACCGGGCGAACGTGGTTGGCTCGATAATTAAGAATCGCTGCAGTTGATTCGTCCCTTGGAACGTTTTTCCAACAATCTCGCAACGAATTGAATGCCAGGTTTACCCCTCCGACCGTGGAGAAAACGGGGTCGAGTTATCAGATCGGGCATTGTTCCCGGAGTTTTTCATCGCACGACGTCGCGCCGTTTACATTGAATCGTATCGGAAGCGTCGTCACACTACAAGAAAAAACACTAGGTTCACTCTGTCGAAAAATGTGCTAATAATTGACTCTTGTGCAACAAAATCTTGGAAAAATTGAAGTTTTCTTTTTTCGCGATATTTCGAAAACCGCTTCAGATAAAAGTTGTAAGTTCTGAGATCCTCTACAAGAAAGATTCTATGAATTTTTCTTCTAACTTCGATATTTAACAAGTTAAGTACGATTAATTGGCAATTTATGGGTATTGAAAAAATCCGACCATTCCACCGTCGAAACAGCGAACTTTTGACAAAAAAAATCGTTTTTCCTCAATTACTCCTAAACCGTTGGTCTTACAGGAAAATTGCATACGACCTTTTTTGTAGCTGACGATTAGAGCTACAATTTCCATATAAAAGTTTCTCGCTAGCGTCAATAGTTTATGAGTAATTGATAAAAAACGAAAAAACAGTTTTTCGCAAATTACTCGTAAACTATTGACACTAGCGAGAAATTGTTACATGGAAATTGTAGATCTCGTCGTCCTCTACAAAAAAGGTCTGGTGCAATTTTCCCGTATCTCCAACGGTTTGAGAGTTATTGGCAAAAAACGAAAATTTTGCAAAATCTGAAGGGGTACCCCTTGGAAAAATCTCGGAAAAATGAAAAATTTTTTTTTTGCCAAAATTTCGAAAAATGCTTAAAATAAAAGTTGTAGGTACTATTATTATCTGCAAGAAAGGTTGTATACACTTTTCTTTCTATCTCGGATACTTCAGGGCTAATCGATTAATTATTTCTTCTATCGCTAAATACTTTGTAACAAGTAGAATTATAAGGAAGTTGCATAGAATTTTTCTTGTATCTGACAAAATACGTGTTCTTCACTTGAATAGATAATTTTTTAATACAGGCTATTCGAGGCTATCCAAGTGAACAGCACTGAATGATCTCCATTTATTTATGAAAATGTGATTCTAACGAGATACGAGATCGAATGAAGAAATACGAGACTAGTTTTCATTGATCTTTTTCTACTACTCGTAGAACATCGTTATTGGTTAGTAACAAACAAGGATCGAAACATGGTATTACATTGTATCAGCAATGTAAAGATGTCAAGGTAGCCTAGATAAACCCGTATATCTCGGCAGTCGAAGCCCATTTACGTGGAAAACGCTTTTTCATCCGCGTGTCAACAAAGAGGGGGAGAGGATCGAAGCTATGCCCTCCTCCAGGGAGCCTCGTAAGGGCAATATCGCGGCTCGGGATCGCGAAAATCATTTCCACATCTCTACCACTCGTCCTCGCTCTCCCTCGATATGCCTCGAGCCGCAGCATCAAACCTGACGGATTACCCAGGAGTATCCGAGAGGGCAGCGGTATCTGCGCGCCGGAAATTAATTACGCGGCTCGACGTCCGCTGGGTAAATACTTTCCGCAAACAGGAGCGAACCGCTGCCTTTCTCTCGGTCCGAGACCTCCCATTTACACTCAAACAGGCGACGACGTTGAGAACCATTGTTGCTCGTTTGCGTTATAAAGGGAGAAAAACAAATTACAACCTACCGATAATAATCCTGCGCGATAACGAGCTTCTCTTTTCTGACAGCTGTCATTAATAACCGGTAGCGCGGAAATAAATAATTGATACCACCACCGGTTTTCTTTTCTCGTCAATAATAATTCAATATTCCTTAAGTTCCGAAAGGGTCGATTGTTTTGTGAAACTGCGTACAGAAAGAAGTGTCTGACACGATAAATGTGTACGGATGGAAAATAAACTAGAGAGAAGATACTAGACAACAAAGTGTTCGACGCAATTGTGTCCCACTTCGAGGAGAGAAAAATGCTCGTGGAAATGTAAACGGCAGATGTGGGTGTCCGGGAATCGGAAATGTCATTCTATGCCGCTTTGGTACCGCCATTTTCGTCGAGCGCACGCAATATCGCGAATTTTTAGTCGGGTAAAGCCGCGATATTTTAGCCCTGTCGCGCAAATATTTAGGGAGAGGAATGAGTTCGGGAGATATCTCTGTTTGTACTCGGGATATCGTGTGTCGGGGGAACGACGAACGAACGCAAGACCTAATCGAACTTGTTACACACGCGGACAGGTACAGTAAATACGAATTAGGTGATCGTCAATTTTTAATCCCTGATAGATAAAAATAAAAAATTTACAGAGTGAGTCTCGATAAGAATTATTATATTCATTGATCCGATTGGAGTCTTGCACTAATTTAGAATCCTCAAAATACAAGAATTCATCCATTCAATAATCTCCACTAAATAAAAGATTCATATGAAAAGTGAACGATGGACGCAAAATCCGATAGAACTTGTTACATACTCGGACAGGTATAGAAAAAACGTATTAGAGGATTGCCAATTTTTAATCTCTGATAGATGAAACTAGAAAATTTACAGAGTGAGTAGAATTAATATATCCATTGAAATCTTGCACTAATCTAGAGTTCTCAAGATACAAGAATTCATCAAATTCAATAATCTCCACTAAATACAGATTGAATGAAGTATCAATTAACGAAATCAAGGAATAATTTATTTGACATAACAATTATTGATTGTTTATATAAATTCATTGAAATTTCATTTATTTTCTTTATTTATTATTATATCATAATCGAGCAGAGATTCTTGTAGATTTTTTGCCAGACAATAAAAGGTATTTAGCAACTCAAAGGTGCATCGCGCGTGGAATAAACGAAGTAGTGCAGGTCAGAGACGGGCCGCTTTCGCCCGGAGTGCCTCAGGATTCTTCGCGCATTTTCTAGTTATAACTTGGTCGCGAGCCTGCTTAATTATTCACCACTGTCTACGGCCTTGTCCCCCCTGCCTCCCGCGGGGAAGTTACCTCGCAACGTGTTTTTGTTAAATCACGGCCAATTACGGCACGCGGTTAAATTACTCTGTTACTCTTACGAGGATCAAAGAATAGAGGCCCCTTCTTTCCCTCCTCTCGCCACTTTTTATTCCGTCCCCTGATGTTTCAACGCTGGCGTCCTTCGTAAAAACTCTTGAGAGGATTTCTCGTTCGACTTTGTTCGACTTCCGTAGAATGATTATCTTATCAGCCGCACGCTAAAGGACCCACCGGCCGGTAAATGGTTGCCAGTTTGAATTCACGGATAATTAATCGCGACATAGACGCGAATGAGACGGCAGGCAGACGAGCTGGCATTGAAATTTCCTTCGAAACGCATATATCACGGCTAATTTTCAAACGGGGGCGAAGTTCCACCGTCGGCACCGTAATTAGATACCCGGGAGACGAAGACGCTTCTTGAGTGCTTCGTCGACTGTAACCGCATTAAACGACGATACGCAGGCCGCGCTTTGTACCCCTGGCACAATTTTCAGCCCTACAAACTTGCTCTACCGCGGAGTTTACTAACTGTTAGCCCACGATTGCCAAAATTGCCTATTCGCGGTTGCTCGTTTTTCATTCTTCAATTAATCACTTCAGAGACGAATTATTTTAAGTGAGAAAGAATAAATTTAATTTTCTTATTACGAATAATTCTTTTATTTCAATTGAGATTATTTTTATTTAATAAATATATAATATGTAAATATGTATGTATGTGCCGATGTCTCTTAATTACACGATTTCGTATCTCTTTTAATTAGAAGATGTAGAGCTTCTTTGAGGGTGCGCGGTTAGAATGGAATTTGAAAATAAACCGCGGGTGGATGGAGGAATAATTTCACGCAAAATGGACAGACTATTTCGCGAAAGGGTCTGATATAGTATGCATGAAGCTGCCTTTGGTCGAGTTGTAAACGCGAAGACCCACGATATTCCTTGGCTTACGTTTCAGAGAGCCTCTGTATGCCGGATAACCTAAGCGCTACATCCGTAGATTTCGCGTGCTATTCACCCACGCACGCGTGTAATTTTAGATAATTGTACAACACGTAATTGCAACACGAATTACAGAATCTTCTTGCGAAATAAATTTGATTATAAAATAATATTGTAAAACATCAGAGCCACGGGATATCGTTGGCAGACGTGGAAAGAATTTAATAAAACGGCACATCGGTGGAAGTTAGTTCGGGACCAGCCGTCGTCGTCCAGTTTTTCCACTGGAAACGCTGAACGAGATTCTGGCAATAACAAGGGGGATAATTCGAATTTTTCTCAAATTTTAATAAAACAGAAAAACAAACAAATTGAATCCGACCAGTGTTTTAATAATCTGAGAATACTTCGTTTCCCTGGATTTGTACGACACGTGGATTACGCGGAAAAAGTATTTAAAAAGTCATCGGTGGACCATTCGTACAGGAAATTGGCGATTCGTGGAAGGCAAAAGCTCTATCACGTCTCTTTGACGATTTTTTTCACGTTCAAAGAACTTTTGACGGTACGAGTGTCAAAGATGACATGGCACGTGTTAACGAGTTTTTTTGGTTATTTAAAACGATCAAATTCGCCGACCTTTGACCGGATTCATTCCATTTACCGTTTGAAATCAATTTCGTGTTGACCCACGATAACGTGAAAATACAATACGCTTCGCCGCTTTTCATATTTGGAGATTGAAATAAAAAGCAAATAATTGAAAATTGGTGAATAGCAGGGGAGCTATCTAACTAATTAATCAAATGTCCGAACGATATCTGTTTACGTTATCTGTTGTCCCGTTCGAGCTAACAGGCCGGGCTTTAATTAACTGTCCGCTGTGTCGATACGTTGCAGTGCCCGATCACATCAGACCGCGGGTGCACAGTTTACCTGAAAAAGCGTACAATCCGAGGACCAGCAACGATCTCTACAGGCTCAGAGCTTTCAGCATCACACATAAAGGAGTCGTTAATCAAGGCGATTCGATTATCTTCAGGCTGAGCAAGAGCAACACCTCCGTCAACAGTAGCAGGTAACTTCAATCAATTTTTTTCATTTCTCACAATATTTATTACGAGATTCTTATAGGCCTGAATTTATAGTCATTTCTCAGTTCTCAATCTCAGTTTTCAACTTGCTTATTTCATATCTATGTGTTTCGCGATACATGATTGATGAAAATTGAAGATATGTTTTTAAACATTTTATTTTATTATTGATTAGGATTTTTTAAAATTTCATTGAAGCGTCTATGGTCATTGAGGTAGAGTTACTCTCTTCAATAAGCAACAAGCAAAACTGGGAACTGAGAAATGACTATAAATTCCAGTCATAGTCTCTCGTGCCAAAAACAAATCCGGAAGCAGTATTGCTCCATCACGTTCCCGAAAAAAATGCATGATTTTCGGGAAAAATGAAATATTACATATTTCTGTACATAGATTTTTTTATCAATTGTCTATAGAATTCGTTTTGGCATGAAAAACTGATATAAAAATCACACAATGGATTTTTCTGTTGTACAGTGTAATTTTCCTATTGCCAAATAAATATATAATTCCATTGTTTCACGAACTGCAAAGAGTTCGAACCTGTAACTCGGTTCCTGGAAGTGTAAAGAGGATTGGGCCGCGCCGGAAAGAGTTGAGCCGAGCCGACACGCGTGAAATAACATTTATTCGACGGGATTCCCTCGCGTACTAGTACACGTATATGCGACGCGGGAGTGTCGAAGCCGATAATTGAGGCGCGTTCCTGGAATACCCGATTACGTTCTCCCGTACCACTTTCGAAATTAGTATTCTTGCTTCCTTTTCGTTTCTACTGACTTGTGTTCAATCCCGAGCTATGCAGAATAGGAACAATGACGAGCAAAATGCGCGACATGCTCGTTTCCATCGATCAACCCTCTCCACGACCCATCCCCCTTTTCCCACCCGTCCGTCCGCACATCCAGCTCTGCTTTTATCGAACTGACATTTAACCTCGATCGCCGTTGCGCTAATGATTAATTACCACCTCCACGTGCTCGGTTTTTTGGCTTTTGCATAACCTGTTGATTAAACTTGATATCTCGTTTCGTTGTTGTAACACCAGCCGGCGAACAACAGAGAATCGAATAAAGAGATCGCTGATTGGATAATTCACATGGAAGTCAATTAAACGCAGCGCTTTGTAAATGAATATTCAAACGCACAATGGGAATGATTGATTGAATTTCGCGACGCGAATCCGTAAATCCTTTTTGCTCTCTCTCTCTCTCTGAGAATATCTATCGCCTGTGTTTTATGACGGACGCGAGAGATCGCTGAAAAACGCTGACGGCCGGTTGTTTATTTCGCAATCGCGTTTTCCCGGTCTTCGGGTTCGATAAGAAATTGGGTTTCACGTCCCTTTCAAAGGGTCGATGAATCGATCGCGTTTCAAGGCCCTATTTCTTCTCGAGCATTAACAGCCAGGTAACACTTGCCACGTTCTCGTTAGGTATAATAAATTCGAGAAAGGAACTGCCTCCTCGGTAGATTAAAAATCAGCAGATGGAATTTTTTAACCAGTGTAATGTAAAATGTGTCAGTTATATCTTGACGTTTGCATAAAAATATATAATTGAGTTACTTAAGGTAGTATAAACCGTAAGATCTCTGGCAAAAGTTTAAGACATGTAATAAAAAGGTGTGTCCAATGTTTGAAGCAATGAACTTTTAGAAAAACTGATGATTACAGAGGAGTAAGACTCACCCCGTAGTATTCTAATACATAGTTTTGGTATTTTTTTTATTGGACGTGACTTGCAACTACACGTCCTATAATTCTTACTTTTGCATATTTTAAATAATATC